CTCTGCTAGCCTTCTGCCTGTCTGTCCTACATAGTGGTTGTTACAGTCCTTACACTATATGTTGTAGATGACTCCTGTTTTTTCTTCTTGGGCTGCTGGGCCTTTTGATTTGCTTAAGAGGTTTTGGAGAGCTTTAGTTGGTTTGTGTGCTGTGGAGATGCCATGTGGTTGTAATAGTCTGTTGGTAGTTTCTGAGATGTTTCTGATGTATGGCAATATTATCCTTTTCATAACCAACACAAGCCATAAATCAGAAACAACCAAAAGGCACATAGAGATAAACAACATCTACACACTATTCAAAAGAGACAATAAAAAGGAAACAAAAGACCAGAGCATCTCCTTACCAGTAATCATCACCCAGATAAGCAGAGATTAACACCAAGATTATCACCAGACATACAATCAGCAGTAAACAAGACAAGGCAGCCATCAACAGGCACATAGAGATAAACAACATCTACACACTATTCAAAAGAGACAATAAAAAGGAAACAAAAGACCAGAGCATCTCCTTACCAGTAATCATCACCCAGATAAGCAGAGATTAACACCAAGATTATCACCAGACATACAATCAGCAGTAAACAATACCCGAATCAAGGAACTACCAGAGGAAAAAAACAAACCAAACCAAACCAAACCCACACCCCCACCAATACTGGCCGGGCATGCCACTGTATATAAACAGAGAACAAACCCCATTCCATTCTAGGACTGAAGATGTTACCTAGCCGGGTAATGAAAACAGCCAAGCTCAGAGAACTCCAGGGACTCCACAGTTCAGCCCTGAGCTACACATATTCTCTTCTATTGATCCTGCATTTAGTAAGAGCAGAAGCAATGCAGTCTGACTTTGTAGTATGTTATTCAGCTATAAAGGCAGTTTCCAAGTTAAAATCAAATTTTTAGGATGGATGGACAGAAATGTGCAAGTGGAAATATGTTTGTTACATCCACCTTCTGATTTGACCATACCTATTTCCCCCTTCACTTTACCCATATGCAACCTCCCCCAGCAGATATCATGACTCACATTCATACCTTGACCTAAAAAAGCCTTTGCACTCATGTGCTCAATAACAGGAACAATAATATTTATATCCCACCTTTATTTTGTACAACTCAAGGTGGTGTACATAATGCTCTCACCTATTTTCCCCACAATGCTCTGAAAACTTTCAGAGATATCTGTCATAATCTGATTCTTTGTAATCACAGGATGCAGTGCTCCAATCACATTTCACATTTCAGACATTTCCAGTATGTCAGCTTGAAGCCCATCTTTTACTTTCTTTCACTAGAGACTGCATCAATCTTTCCCCCCAGAATTGTAGCCAAAAGCATAAACTCACTCAATAGGCTCCTATTGACTTCATTCAGTGGCACTTCACTGAAGCTGATGATGTCACTAATCTCCTGTGGGGACAAAGAAAATGATGAAATAAAATCCTATTTTTAGTAGAGAAGACAGGACACAAAACTAAAATCCTGGACATAATTATGTTCATGGAAATTATGAGAAAAACATAGGACGTCATATACAATTTGAACATAAGAGTATTAAAATCTGTTTATTGTACCAAAAGGCATTCATATATGTTGTCAGATATCAAGTCATATATTGACTATTCTTACATAGATTCAGGTGGCAAAGTTGCTGGTAGCATCAGAATTGTTGAACAGAAGGGCCATTAATTCACCAAAGACTGATATGCTATGCCCATAGGAAATAGATCCCATATTGTCCTGCACCAATATTTGTTGAAGATCCTAGTGGACTACTTCTAAGGAACTGTCCTTAAGGGCTTTTTGTCACAATACAATAAATGAAGTGCAAATTTTGGATTCTGGAGGTAAATAAGTAAGAAAGAGACAAAAAAATAAATGGGCCTACTTTTGAAGATAGTCCAGAAATATCCATTAGTACAAAATACAGCAGCTAGATTAATAATTGGAATGGGGCATTATGATCATATTTTTCCTGTACTGGCTCATTTCCAGTACAAAGAGCAGATATCAACCAATGAAGTCCTTCACAGCTTGGGGCCACAGCTTCTGAAAGGATGCAGATGCCCATGAATTCCTACATGTGCATCACAGCCATCTTTAGCTATCTCTGCTCCAAGTGCCCTCCCATTCTGAAGCATGGAGCACAACCTTCTGAGTGGATGCCTTCTCAGTGATAGCTCTGCAATTCTGGAAGGTCTCTTTGGAGATAAAGCTTGACACCCACTTTTTTCATACAAGACAAAGAGTTTTTTTTAAGGCTTTTTTTGTTGTTTTTTTGCCATATAGTGGTCATTGTAACTGATTGTTAAGATAATCTAATTGATTTTTTTTCTGAGTTTAATTATTTTCACTAGCTTTTTTATGCTACTTTTATGCATTCAGATATTACTGATATTTTTAGGGTATTTGGCTACAGTATATGCTATCTTATAAAAAACATTGTGAAAGGAAGCATATAAATCAACCACAATAACAATCTGGCTGCCCAAAATTAATTTTAATTCTGGTGAAGGGGAACCAGAGCACAGCTATTCCAAGATTCTGTTCTACAATCCATTCTTGCCAGATTCCCCTGGTTACTAATGATTAAGAAACATTCATGGATTTAGACACCTTTCTGATTTTTGCAAATATTTCCTGGAGAACAACTGTTCTGCAAAAGTAGTTCTCAGAAGTATACAATATGCCATGATATACTGGTCCAAGCAGTTAAATGTGAGAGCTTCCTTCAAAGGGAACTGCTACTAAAACAATATTGAGGGAAAAAATCTAACTCAGCACCATTTTAAACTTTTTTCTGTTAACAGCAATGTATGTTTATTCTTTCTGGTATTACAAAAATCATTACATTTTGCTTCTGCTTCTACTTAAACATTGATTGATTGTGCACCACAATAAATGGCACAGATAAGGGAAAAGGCTGCATGAAAATGCAATACCATCAACAATTATGAACATTCACATGTCTCTTAAGAGTTTTACCTTATATTCTAGCCTTCTGCTACGGTATGGAAAAGCTATAAGCCTTTACCCTGTTTCTTTACTAGGATCTTCCCCAGTTTTAACAGGACCTAATGTTCATTTGCCAGCAGGCAATGGATGAGTAATTTATTATAGGCACTGAAGTACCAGAACTGTGGACAGAGAATAGTAACATGTCGGTGGGTTAAAAGGAACCAATCAATGTTTAGAGTTTCCCAAAAGAAGTAGAAGGAATGCTGCAGAATGGAAGCAAAGATATTTTACTGGAAAACAGAGCAAACCACATGGCAACTGGGACTGAAGGAAAATGCAGGACGGGTTGTAAAAAAAAAAAATAGGATGAGGAAGAGGGGTAGATATGTGTCCTGTTTACCTGAGATACAGAATTCAGATAAATTTGCAAGTTGCCCACTGTATTGTTAAAAATGCCAAAACTTCTCCCTACACCCTGGGATATACGTTGGTTGCAGACATATGCACAGATATCTCCAGCCCTTTAGCAGAGGAAGAAAAAAGAAAGGAACAAAGTTGTAAAGGGCAAATAGTAATATCATCCAATAGACTGCGAACATAGCAGTATGTTGAGGTCTCATCCAACTGGGGCAAGATATAAATGCAATAAATAAATAAAATCTACTTGTACGTTGATGCTGTGTTAATTATTTGGAAGGCAATGGAGATACAGGCCTTGTACCTGTACAATGTTTAGATGTAAATGAGTTGAGTTTTACTGGCTTTGCATCATGTATGAAGCCACCAATTCTGCCTTAGTATTATGTGTGAACCAGTTTATTATGTTCAACAAAACATGGTTTAAAAACATACCTTAGCATTATGTGTGAAGCTGAGCAATATGTAAGGGAAAGATAAGTATGGTTTAGAGCCAGCACTTTATGCTCATGGTCTCTCTAATATATCAGAATCATAGTGTTATTTCGGCTTGGAATGTCCCAGTACTGTAATTTGTCAGAGTAACTCTGTATTGTGCAACACCTTCTCTCTCTAGCACCATGGTCTCAGTTGTGGCTGACCATGCCAGGCATGATCTCTTTGTAATCCTGCCCGCATTTACAAAAGTACATTCTGGCTAACTTTGATCTTTGTGTCTTTCTGGGAATAACACAGGAACAAATTATATACTAAGGGTCTCCAATGTAGGAATTTCTGTAATTAAAAAAAAGAGGGCATATTTATGTTTTAGGAATGTGCTTGTTTCTGAAAAGAGGTGCTGAGTGGAGCTTTGGCAAAATCAAGCATTGCCAGGAATATTCCAGGCTGCTAACGATCACATTGTTGTGCTCTTTGGCCTCAGAGCAACTTCATAACTCTTTTGTCCCACACAATGGAATCTGCTGTCCCACCGTGGCCATTTCCTTTACTGCCTCCCTGCTTGGCCCATCCCATCCCATGCCCTACTTTTCAGGAAACCATTCCCCAAGTACAAACAATCCTGACAGACTTGCCAAGGAGACAAGAGGACTGGATCACATCTCATTTAACACTTCCATCAGCCACTGTGCATATATATTAGGAACATCTGCTGTGTAAGTACTATCCATACAAATCAAGGAATCTTTCAATGTGTTTCCAGAGTGGTGATTGTGTTTGCCTCTTGTTGCAAAATCAACAAGAAACATCTTAAAGTCTAACCAATTTTTATAAGTTCACCTTTCATGGATCACTGTCCACTTCATGAGATACAATAATAAACTATTTAATCTTTAGGGTGCTACGCAATTCTCTGTCAATGTAAAAAATCTAATGCAGTGATGCAGGAGTAGCTACTCTTTGCTTTAAATCAGAGACTGTAGCACAAGCAAAAGGCCAAAGTCGCAACTCCCACCAGCTCATTCTATTATTCTGCATAGGATGAAACTCACAGAAGAACAACAGTAATACCCAGCAGAGACCAAAAAAGAGTCTGCCTCTTGCAGGCAGTGTGCTTGTTCTGCTTCTGGTACATGAAACCTCCACAGTGTCCACAGCAGCGGCAGCAGCAGAAATACAAGCCCACTAGGGGAACAAGGACGATAAACAGAAGACCAATGGCGGTACAAACCAGGAAGCCCGTCTCATACTTGAGCATCTAGAAGTGGAGGGAAGCAAAAGGGAGTTATCAGACTTAGCAATTTGTGGACACTTGTCCGCTTCAAAATGCAAAGAAGGATAGAAGACTGAACAGAAGACTGTCTCCAGGAGTGAGCAAATTCCACTGGATTTACTTCAGATACCATCTTGTTTTACTACTCATTTTACTTCCTCAAAAAAATCACTAAACAGCAAGAATGTTACTTTAAAGTCTCATCTGATGGACCAGGCCTAGCAAAGGACAGTGAGTCAGCACATCATTAGACATCTCCACATTTGCAATAATCACAAGGATCACACCCTACTCACCTCTTTATATATTGTCTGGTCTTGAAGGAAATCTTGACGCTTGATCAGTTGAGTCAGGAGATCTACGGAGAAGCACAGAGAGGTTGGTAGAAAATGCTATCATTTATTTATTTATTTACATCTATAGATAATCCAAAACCTAAATTTGTTTAAAATTTCTTGCCTGGAGCCTGGGTTACCAAGCTGAAAATGTCATTTCAGTCGTGGGAGG